TTTACTCTGGAACAGGGTATCGTTTTCAGCGATTTTACTCTGGAACAGGGTCAGGGTTTTGAGGTCCCAGCGGCACATCCCTGCCCAAGTTTGGTCTCCATTAATGGCTAATATACACCAATAGACTCGAATGGTATATTGTCTAACTCCATTTGTCTCTATTGGTGGTCAATAATAGATTCATTCTATGACACCAAGAAGTCATTTGGAGTCATTGGAGTCAAAATATGTTCATATTTCATTCGGAGCCGAAAACTGGTCAGATGGGATCCCTGTCTTAATGACGACATTTCCACACCACGACCACAACATCCCGAGGTCACGAATAGATACCATTCGATCGATTCGTAAAGATAAAGTCCACTCGTATATAAGGAATTCAATTGATTTACCCCTCCCAAGAAAAGTGCAACCAAGCAAAATCATCTCCCTGGCTTGGCGCTTCGCTTAGTTTTATAGAGTTAGTGGTTTAGGGTTCGCTGGTTCAAATCTTACCCGGATCAATTTTTTACCAAGTGAGGAGAACAAAAACCCTTAAGACGGCTAAATATACGAGATACAAAAACCAACTTTGAACTTGGCGCGCAACAKTGTTTCTGTTAAAGTTGAGTATCAAAGTTTATCGTTTTTCATGCATCGTCAACTTGTTATGCAACAAAAATACATCGTGAAAAAAGAGAAACACCGATGCTCAACTTGAACAGAAACAATGTTTCGCGCCAAGTTGAGGGGTTTTTTTTCTCGTATTTAGTCAAAACATTTCAAAATCGCACCCGTGTGTTCGGAAACCTATGATGTACTTGGTACACGGTACACGACGATATATTAAATTTACAAAAAAGATTCYCAGGTGAGTTTGTAGTTATAATATAAATGGAGGGAAAGGAAAAAAAGAAAAAAAACACCCAAAGTCAGCAGCTAAATAGTCTAATATCATTCCTAATTTGACCCCTATAAAACAAATCAAACCCGACCCCACCCATGTAGTGCAGTTGACATGTCTGGTCCTAATTGTGGGGCCGGCCAATTCAAACCATGGCATGCATGTAGGTAGCAAGAAAAGCTGCATCAATCACATTTTGTACATGTATATTCATATTTTCATTTTCTCTTCTGAGCTAGCACACTCTCTGTCATTGTAGTTCCTGATGACTCAGTTGAAATTAGTTGCTAGTGCGATAACAACGACGAAAAGACTGCTACATGGAAACATTTTCTCATTATTTGTTTTATTTTATTTTTTCTCAGTTTACACTAAGATCCATTTCTTCTGCCTCTACTTATGTTGAAATGTGAACTGCTACTCATTCTCCCTCGTTTACTCAAAAACAACTCATAAACTCCTGACACTTTATCAACAAATTAACACTTTAAACTTCAGAAAGACGTTTTAACTGCAATAAACTCTTTCTTAGCGAGTCAAATGAAGCAAAGACTTTCGCTGCGCTAAAAAACAACTGATACTTAACAGTTCTTTTTTGACGACTTAAAAAGGTGTCTGTCAACACAATTGTCGTTGAATAAAAATAGCTACAAAGAACAACAACAACAACAACAAGAAAAAAATCAAGTTGGCACAAGGCCTTTGCGATATTTCAAATTAAACTCATTCCAATTGCTAAAAGTAGCTCGTAAAACACTAAAAATACCTAAAAACTAGTTTTACAAATGTACAAATATTCAAACGACTATTATTGAGTGTGAAAAATCTACATGATATTTCAGTTTGCCCTTAATTGCAAATATTTCATTTTTTGCATTCAAAGGGCTTCTCTCCAGTGTGTGTCCTTTGGTGTTTTGTCAAGGATTGCTTTGCTGAAAACTTCTTTTTGCAGTAAGAGCATTCAAAGGGCTTATCTCCAGTGTGTGTTCTCAGGTGAATATTCAAATTTCCTTTTTGTCCAAATTTCTTTTTGCAGTAAGAGCATTCAAAGGGCTTCTCTCCAGTGTGTGTTCTCAGGTGAATATTCAAATCT